GCTTTTCAGACAAAGTGCAGAAGTGGAAGCTGAAGGAAGACCACAAAGGTGATGAGCCAGAATCAGATGATGCTGGTGAAAGTGGTAAAGGCGATGCAACAGTAGCAGCAAAGAGGGACTTGTCTAAGACAAGAAAATACAAGAGGTTGTCCGATGCAAATGCAATTCACCAACACAACTCAGAACATGCACATGGCCTCAGTAACAGTACATGGCCTATGATAAGTAACATGCACGTTTGTTTTTCACAATATAACACCACAAGTTTAGGTATATGTTTGTATCCTGATGTTATTCTATAGAATAACCTCAAGGTTATGTTTCAAAATAGACTATTTCTCAGTCTAAATTCAAGTCTATTTAAAATAGACTAATAGTTAGAAAATAATCTAGAAAAGCTGTTCTAACTATTAGTTAGGAAATAGTCTAATCTGGTCTTAGAGGATCTATGGTGACTGCATTTCACGCTACCAACCTTGGAGCGCTGACTTCAATCATGCGACGGGGGCTAGTGCCAGGAGGTCTCGGTTCATCGGGAAGGGATTCTATCCACTTCACATGTTTTCCGCCATGAGCCTGGGAGCAGGGCTACAAGGGAAAACCTTGGCTGGGTCGTAAGGTCGCATTGAGTGATCGCCCAGTGGTTCTCTACATTCCGGTGTGGAAGCTGCAGGAGTACGGGCTTCTCATCTCAGCGACTGGCTCTCTATTGGTTGAGAACGTCGTTCCCTTCGATGAGGTTAAAGGGGCATGGTTGCAATGCGACAATGCGGAACCCGGAAAGCCTGAGGAGATCGAATGGATCAGGTTACTCAATAGGGAACCCGACCCTGGGAGCTACCTTGTTCTGGAGTCCAAATACGGAAACCCGATCATGATCCCACGCTATCAGAAGCTTGAGAGTTTAGCGGTTGAAGTTCAGGAAGTTCAGGACGATACCTACTCCGAGGACGACGCCAAAATCTCAAAACTATTGGGTATGATCGAGGAGAGTGGCGTGCACCCAGAATATGATAGCACCGAGTGGCAGGAAATCTTTGAGGAGATCGTGTACCGCCGGGCAATGAAAGACTATGACTCAAGGCCGTGTCCTAACTGTCTTGGCGAAGTCGATGTGCGGTTGACGGTATGTCCGCACTGCGTAGCGGTTTTGATCGCGAATGGGAAACTCACGCACGTGGTACCCAAGGAGACAAGAGACCGCAATCAACGATCACCTCCGAAAGATGTCCCAGCCAGTTCTTCCGGCGAAGCAACCTCTGCTGCAGGTGCAAACATCGATGAAGTCATCAAGAATGCACGCAAGACAGCCGAAGAGGTCATTGAGGTCGAGGAATCCGAAGGAGAGGAAGAGGAGGAAGTTCCTATCATTTTGAAGGAACGACCGGACGAAGCTGAAGGCGAACCCGAATATCGGGAGGTCCCTCAAGATGGATACGGGAATGAACTTCCGCAGCCTTTCCCCTTCGCAATTGACGAATTGCCACAAGAAGCTGCGATCCCCATCGACCACAACTTTGCAGTCACACAGCAGTTTGATCTGAGGTTGATGAAGTTGATCAAGAGCTTGGCCAACGCGACGTTCGACATCAACTGCTTTGAGAGTCGTGAAGACGTACTGCGAAGGTTCGACGATGGACAGCGGCATGATACTCCGTACAATAGATGGCCAATAGTACCGAATGATCCGGATACTGGGTTTCCAAGACGTCTCCAGAGAGCCGAGGTCGTAGGCATGAACAAATGGACCAACGACACGTTTGCGACAGAGGCGTGGCAGATCTATGAGTTCCACGCCCATGTTGTACACCCGATGATGATCACTGCAATCCGCTGCGGGCTTAGCCACAAGTACCTCAAGGAGGTCGGCAGCACTCGGCGTAACATGAGTGATCCGAAGGCTCGAAGGTCTGAGACCCAGGAAGAGATCATCGAGAAACTGGCATTCATCTCAAACTTCATCAGACGCTTGATCAGGAAGACCTTCGGAGCGAGCCGATATAGCTACTACCAGAAGCCAGATGACGAAAGTGCCGCTCCATACAAATTCATCGACATTAGCCCCGCCATCAAGTCGGAGCGGAAGAATGTCACGAAGGAGATCCTCGTTGCATGCCGCTACTATGGCATAGAGGTATCCGATATCCAAGCACAGAAATTGAAGCTCTTCGAGAACCAGATCCGAGCGGGAAATCCGAGGAACGTCGAGCTCATCAAGGACTACATTGGCTTTGTCGGCGCTGACTACATGCGGCAACTCACGAATGGTTGAGCATTGGGGTCATACCGACATGCCACTTTTGGTACTTCACGTACTGAGGGATCTTGGGTAATTCATGATGACCATTTAGGCATCATGGGAGTGAGATAGGATTGTGTTTCACACCACTGGTAATCGTATGATACCATAGGTAGGTGCACGTTTTCCGCTTGTAGCTCCATTACCTGTTTGATCCGACTTTCAGGCAAATGCAAGATCTTTTGCCAATTCAATTCAATAGGACATACTGGTTGACCTCCAATACACTTTTGAGAACATGATTCGTTCTCCGGTTTTTACATCCACTCATCTCCCTTCCCCGTCGAAGTACGGATGTGGGGGGTGTCAATAGGGATGAGGTCCCAGTATAGTTGCTATATAGGTACTTGCCATATACTTTTGGCTCAAGTGCCCAACCAGGTAAAAAGGAGCTTTAGCGCGCGAGCTTCATGTTGAACTAAGGGCTAGAACGGGGCCAGGGCACACCTTTTCATCCGTTCGCAACAAAGACACAATCACAAACACACAACCACAAACATACACACAACACACAACCACAAACACACACACACACAAACACGCAACCACAGACACAACCACAAACACACAACCACAAACACACAAACACACAACCACAAACACACAACCACAAACACAACCACAAACACATCCACAAACACAACCACAAACACACAACCACAACCACAAGTACAAACACACAATCACAAAGACACAGCCACAACCACAACCACAACTA